CCTGCCTCCTTCTCTGCCAGGCAGGGCTGGGTGCCTTCTCTTGGGGTACACCTGCTTTTCTACATGCATTTCAGATCCAGGGCCTGGCTGCAGGAGGCCAGCACTGCGGTCCTCTGGGAACTGTGCCCTGTTTCCCTCCCACTTCCTCCCCTTCAGTGCCAGCTGTACTCCTTCCTGTGCTTTGTGTTTCATGGGCCACCTAGAGGGACGTCCCTGTGTGCAGCAGAAGGTGCTGGGTGCTTTACGGAGGCTTTCCCTTGCTGCACCTAGGTGCTGTGTCTGGCCTGGGCTCTCTGGCCACCAGGAGGACTCTGGGCCTGTCCTCCTCCCCGGAGCCCTTCCCACCTCCTTCCCCTCCTCACGGCACTCGGTCCTGCGTCTCCAGCAGCTGGGCCACTCTGCTGGTGGGTCAGAGTCCCACTGCCCAGGACCCCCACCCTCTCTCTCCTTCCCTCATTGGAAGGTTGTGGTTCCTTCTGCCAGCTCCCCTCTGAGTGTGAAGCACAGTGGTCTTGTAGGCTCCTTATCTGTCCTTGGGGTCCTTGAGGTGAGGAGAGGAGCAGCAGCCATGCTGTCCACCGGGCCTGGCGGCCTCTGGGGCACTCTTAGGCCTGTTAACACCACCAGCAGAACGTGCAGGGGACGGTAGTGGCTGATGGATCTGGCAGGTGCTGGGTGCTGGGGAACCCTGTGGGCAGGTCTGCTGTTGGTTGCTCACAGCTCGTTCTGCCTTGCAGTCCTATGACCTGCTGTTGCTGCTGCTGCTACTGGTGCTGCTGCTGCAGGGCGGCCTCAACACTGGCACCGCCATCCAGTGCGTGAGCTTCAAGGTCAGCACGAAGCTGCAGTGCACGTCCTGGGACACCCAGGCTGGCCACCAGGAGCGCCCAGAGGGGGAGGTGAGTGGCCTGTTCTCACAGACTCCCTGTCTTGGGGGCCTCTGAGAACCCAGGGGAGGTGACCATCCCCTGCACTAATGTCCTTCAAAACCTTTCATGCTTTTTTGTATTTTAAAATTAACCCAGAAAAAAATCTTGAAGAAGTAAATTAGGAAATACATTATTTTAAAAAAAAAAAATTAGGCAAATACAAACCCATTTCTGATCCTGAAAAGTACCAGGGCCTCAGGCTTTTCTTTGCTCTCACAAACATAGAGCCTCCCTCCTTCCAGGGACTCCCATGCATCAGACTTCCCTCCCTGGCTCCAGAGGGTGCCAGGTCTGCAGGGGAGGGGTGCCCACCCAGCCTGGAATATAGGTTGTCATGCCCACCCCTCGGCCAGGCCACAGCCACCTGCATGGCCCTCTGCTCAGACCCTGCCTCTTGCCCACCTCCTGCTGCCAGCCTGAGTCCCGAGGCTGCCACAGCTGACAGCAGGGGCTCAGCAGCTCTCTGTGGGCTGCCCCTCCAGGCAGTGTGTCCCTGGACAAAGCTGCTCATGGCCCCTTGGGAGCAGCAGCCACAGGGCCCCTGTACCTGGTCCTCTCTGCTCCAGGGAGGTCTCCTGTCTGTCCCAGCATTGTCCCTGGCCTAGTGCAGACCCTCCTGGTTCTTCGTCAAGTCCAGAATGGGGCAGTGCTAGGTGGACACCTTGTGCTTCCAGAGTCCAGAACTGCCCATGCTAGCGCTTGGGTGCACCACGAGGCTGGCTGCTGTCCTCCCTGCTGCCTGGCAGCATGCAGTCACCTCTGCCTCAGGTGACCTGTTCCTCAGCTGCCAGGAATGTGCCCAGCCACCCCTGGAGCCTGCCCCACCCCAGGCTCCATACGTGCAGAGACTCAGAGACCAACCCTGAGTGAGGGGCCTGTCATTTTGAGGACAGCAGGACAGTGGAGGCCTCTCTCAACCTCCTGTCCAGCTTGCTGGTGCATTGGGGGCTGCTGCTCTGCCTTCTGCAGCAGGCGTGGCTCTGGTGAGCTAACCCAGGTCCTGTCTCCCTCACAGGTGGCCAGAAGCCCCCTGAAGGAGTTTGACAAGGAGAAAGCCTGGAGAGCCGTTGTGGTGCAGATGGCCCAGTGACCAGAGTAGACGTCCAGCTGCACAGACCCCACTGTCCTGTGGCCACGACTCTCTAACACACCCTTTCCCTTCCTGAGGGCAGCTTTTATTCTCATCAGACTTAACTTTGAAGTAGGTGAATGTGGGCTGTTTTGTCCTGTGGGATCCGTCAGCTTAATGCTACTTTGGTGGCCCAGCCACCCAGGCCCCTGCGAAGATGGCAGAAGGGCAGCTGGGCAGAGGCCTCTCCACATTCCAGGCCTCTCTGGTCCAGCTTCCTTGGTGTGCCCTTCCCTGTGGCCTGTGTGTGCTGTGGCTCTTCCTCACTTTGCGCTTTCCCCTTCTGAGATGACACCTCTCAAGGGCCCAGCCCGCCAAGCATCCTTCCCCACCCCGCAGAGCAGGCCAGCGCTCTGTCCCACCCCTAGAACTGGCCACTTCACATAGTTGCCACTGCTTTCCCACACCCCAAGTCTCCACCGGGTCTTCCGTACATTCCAGAGGCTCCACCTCCTCCCCAGCCCTGGAGGGTGTCCCTGGGATCCTCAGGTCCAGTTGGAGCTTTGCATGACCACTGACTGCCAGTGTTCTCAGGGAGGGAGCTGATTGTGGGGCTTTGGAAAAATGGATCTGACTGCATAGCCACTCACCACCCTGCGGCAGTGACAGTTGAAGCTGGTCTCTCCACATTTGCCTGGCTCCTGCAGGATAGACCCCATTTGAGCGCGGGCAGTCCCTGTGCCCCAGGCCTCTCACTGCCTGACTGATCCCTGCTCACCAAGCTCTGGCCAGGGTCAGCTGTTGGTGTTTCAGGCACTTGTGTACCTCTCCAGCATGTCTGTCACTGCCTGCTGCCAGGCTACAGGGACAGTTTGGGTGAGAATAATATTGGTTTCGGTTAAAACCATGGCCACAAGTTGGCTTGTGTGCCCTCTGCCTATCCTCCGAGGACACAGGATCCTCCCGCTGACATGGCACCTGTTAATCCCTGGTGAGTTGGGTTCCAGCATTTTTTGCAGTCAAAATGTTTTTTCTCTCCCTGCACAAGAGGAGAAGCCGTGCTCAGGAAGGCACTGATGTTCGCTGTCCACTGAGCTGGGTGTTAACTGCTGCCCCCACCTCAGGGAGGCTGAAGAAAGGCCGGGAGGCCATTATCACCAATGGACCAGTAAACCAGGGACTGGGTGGGATGGGCAGCCTGGCCAGGGGGATGTGAGGACCTTCTCAGCAGATCTTACTCTTGATCCCAGTGGCCCTGGTTGCCAGGAATCATGATTGGGAGGTCATTATGTTCAGCTGGAGAAGAGGAATGCAGATAAGACTCAGGAAGCTGGAAGGTGCCAAGAAAGCAGCTATCTCCAGCCCTGGGTGACCTCTCTGCAGCCCTTGTCCTGGGCAGCTCCAAAGGACAAAGTCAGGGCCAGCTAGGCCATGCCCAGACGAGCACCACCATGGAGGTCATTCTCCTGCCTACGTGAGGCCCAGGTCCTCAGGCTAGGCCACTGCCTCCCTGCAGCTCTGCCCTGAGGAGGCCAGGTGGGATCTGCTCCCCTGTTCCTGAGAGTGGGTGGGAGTCACAGGGACTGCCCTGGGGCAGTGGTCATCAGGGGACAGATGTGGCTGGAGGATCACTACTGGCTTGCACTCCACAGAACTAAACAACCCAAGTGGAATTTCAAAATTGTCAGTTCTGATTTACACTTTTTTTATATATCATTTAATACGCTAGAACAATAAATAAATGCTAACCTACAAATGTGGCCAGCAGTTTGTTTATGTGGGGTGTTCGGGCATCTGCCTGCCCACATTCTTAACAAATGGAGATGTAAAACAGGAGGGTGAGCTGAGCTGAGGGCACCTTGGTATCGATTCCTTGATTTAGATATAACCCTTGGAGGTGGGGCCTGGGGCAGAGCAGAGGTGTTGGTGGGTGAAGGCACTGGCCAGCCCAGGAGAAGCTGCCCACCTGTGCACAGAGGGGAGAACTTCCAAAATAAAGATGCATTTAAACCAAATGTAGATAACCTCCATGTTCTAAACCATCCCCGGCAGTGAATGCCCTGATGGAGTGGGTGGGTCTCTCCTCACCACCCCCCAAAAAAGCTGGGCTGGCAGGGACAAAGAAGAAAGGAACTGCAGGGGTCCTGCATGGCAAGCAATACTGGCCAGGAAGACGGGTCCAGCAAAACACCAGGAAGTGCCCATGTGAGAGTGCGTCTGCTCCCAAGAATGACCTTAAGGGTGCCAAGGCTGCTGCAGGCTCCTTGTGGGACCTACTAGCTGCTCCTGCCACCCCATTGCCATCACCCTCTAGAGGACACCTTGTCCAGGGAGAGGGCCCTATGCAGTTTGTGGGGAAGGACCCCACCACAACACCGGCCCCTGCACCCCCTACTTCTGGCTGGGGTGGGGTGTCTTGTGGGCAGCAAGGGGGCGAGGGCCTGGACTGGTGCCCCTGGAGGGGCAGGGTGTGACCGCGGTCTTTGTGACTTGGCAGGGGCCTAAGTGCCAGGGCGGGTCCGAGTGACCCCGACCTCCGTGCGGGGCCAAAGCGCGTGACCCGGGCGGGGGTCGCGGCCACTCGCGGGCCCTCCCCAGACGCATGGCCCGCGTGTTCCTGTGCCCCGGCCCCCGCCCCCGCGCTTGCTCGGACAGCAGCCGGGGACTAGAACCCCAGCCGGAGCCCAGCCTGAGCGCCACTGACTGCGACCCGGCTGAGCCCGCGCCACCCACGCCGCCCGCGCGCCGCCACCGCAGCGCCCGCCGCCCTCCGCCGCCCGCGCGCCCGCGCAGCCCCACGCCCCGGGCCGGCCGCCGCACCCCTCGTGCCGGGCTCTACCGCCAGCGCCGGGGTCCTGCACAAAGCGCCGCGCAGCCCGGGCCCGTCGCCCTGGGCAACCGCAGGACGTGGGGACGCGCGGCAGGGGGCGGAGGCGCGGCGCGCGCCTCGGGGCCGGTCCCGGGTGAGCAGCGGTCCCACAACGCCTGCCTGTCCCCACTTCTGACCCCACAGGCCCCCTGCTCCCCGCACTCGGAACCCGCCCTCCTCCCTCTGGAACCCCAGAACTTCCCTACCCTAACCCTCCACCTGCCCACCCCTCTCCCGCCGGGAAGAGCTGCTCCCCTCCCCTTGGAACTCCTTAAATGTCTCTCTTCTCTGGTCCCCGGCGTGTCCCTCCAGCCTAGTTCTGTCTCCCCACCCCAGACCTGTCTCCCCCAACTCCAGACCCCCTCACACTCACACCTACCCCCCCACCCCTGACCTATCCTCCCACCCAGATCCTCGCCCCCAGACCTACCCTCTCCCAGACCTGTGGCCCCACCCGGGCCTCCTCATCCCCGGCCTGTTCACTGAGGTCCACCTACCCTGAGACCTGTCCCTCACCTGGATCTCCCCACCCAGCCCTGCCTGCTGACCTTGCTCCCTCGTGCCCCTCTCCCAGCAGGTGCCGACAGCCTGAAGGAGGAGCCGGAGGCCATCATGGAGCCAGGCCAGAAGCTGTCCTCTGCCTTGTCGGATGGAGAAGAAAACAGTCTGCACCCGCCTTTGCTTCCCAGAGTCGGGCAGCGCTCAGACGGGCTGTCCCCGCTGTCCTCAGCCTTAAGTGGGCGCGAGGCCAAGGTCACAGGTGCTCAGAGGGAGGTGTCTCGCCCAGGCCCACCAGGGGAGGCGCTGGGCAGGGTCGGGTGGGGACTCCCACTGGGCTTCCCTTGAGGTTCCTCGCTGCCTTCCTGTGTTTCCCTTCCTGTCGGACAGGGTCGTGGTTGGTATACCTAAAGTCCTAGGAGTAAAATCCACACCACAGGTGGGCACCCCCTCTGCTTTGTAGGGTGCTGACAGTTCTGCAGCCTGGGTAGGAGCTGGCCACCCCACAGCCCCTCTCTGCATTTCCCGCAGCCCTGTTGGAGAGTTCCTTCCAGATCTTGGCTGTGGTCAAGTTGGCTTGTTTTATTGCTGACGTGGGAATTCCGTGTGTGTTCTGGATACCAGTTCTTTGTCAGAGCCGTATCATAAATATCTGTGGGGTCCCTTAAGTCACTCACCCGTTCCTTCAGTACCCGGGGCTTCTGGCTTCAGTGTGTTTACTTATCAGTCTCCTATCCTTAGTGCTTTGGGGTCTTGTTTAAAACTCTGTGCCTACTCCCTTGTCCAGAGAGTACTGCCCTGAGGTTTTTTTGTTTTTCTTTTTAAGAAGCTTTATAATTCCACTTTTCACATTTGGGTATACAACCCTTTGGGACTGAGTGGTGCACATGGAGTGAAGCAGGGGTCATCCCCCCATTTGTATATCCAAGGACTTGGCTTCCTGGGGTCAACCAGGTTGCACATTCCCCATTCTGTACAGGGATTCAGCCTCTGCCTGGCAGGTCCCCTGGGGGTCATCCAGTCGTGGATCCCCATCTGTTCTTTGGTCTTTCTGGCTATCCTTATTCTCAGGTGTGGGTTCCCCATTTTATCCTATTGATCTTGCTGGCCGTCCTGACCCTGTACCACCATTCTGATTCCAGGAGATCTCTTCTTTTCTTTTCCTTTTTAAAATTTTGAGACAGGGTCTTGCTAAGTTGTCCAGGCTGTACTCAAACTTGGATTCTCTTGCCTCATCCTCAAGAGCAGCTGGGATTATAAGCATGCACCACCACGCCTGGCTCTGGTTGCTCTATAATAAGTCTTACTATCTGGTGGTTTAAGTCCCCTGACCTTATTCTTCAAGATTGCTTAGGTTTTCTTGGACTTCTGCACTGCCATGTAAATTCTGAATCAAATTGTTAATTTACATACATACAAACTGTGCTGGGATTTTAATTATTATTACATTGAGACTGTGGCTCAATTCTGGAGAATCAAAATCTTAACAATATTGACTATTCTAACCCATCAGCATCTGACTTTCCTTTAATTCTTCTCAGCAGTGTCTATAGTTTTCATCGAGCATATACGCAGGACTTCTGTTGCTAGATTTACTCCTAGATATTTGATGTTTTAAATGCTATAGATGACATTTTTTAGTTCATTTTTCTCACCTTTTCTGACAACACAGTTGTTTTAGTGCACTGACTTAGTAATTGGTGACCTCACTAAGTACACTTAGTAATAGATTCACTTAGATTTTCCATGTATACAGTCCTCCTCTACAAATCTTTTCAGTCTTTATGACTTTTCTTTTCCTGCATTATTGCATTGGCTAGTGTTCTCAGTAAAACAGAGTAGAAATGGTACAGTGGACATTTTTATTTTGTCCCCAAACTTAAGTGGAAACTATGATGTTCTGTAGGTGGTAGACTTTCCTTTTATTGATGGCCTAGCAGGAGCTTTTCAATGAACAGTTGCCATGCTTTCTTCTCCATTTGCAGTGGTGATAGTATTTTTCTCCCATTGACATCCCCAACCCTTGGACTGTTCATTTGATGTGTTCTGTTGATAAAAATTGGTTTAGTATTTGAAAACCCCATGTGGTTTTGCTGCATTGTTTTTCTGTTACTGGATTTGATTTACAAATGCATTGTTTAAGGTTTTTGTGCCTATTTTTATGAGCAACATTGGCATACCCTATTCTTTTGCTGTAGTGTTCTCATCAGGTTTTGATATTAAATTATGGGCTCATAAAAAGAGTTGGAAAGAGTTTCCTATTTAGTGAAATGGCTTATATAGTTTTTCCCCCTAAATATTTGGAGAGATTGATGTGAAATACCGTTAGACCGGGAGTTTTCATTTTGGGTAACACTTTTTATTTATTTTGTGGTGCTGGGGATTGAACCCAAAGGTGATTTATCACTGAGGCACATTGTATGTCGCCTTTTTTTGTTTTTTATTTTGAGGCAGGGTCTTGCTAAGATTCTGAGGCTGGCCTCAAATTTACTGTCCTCCTGCCTCAGCCTCCTGAGTCACTGGGATGGCAGGTGTGGGCCACTGTGCCCTGTTGATTTGTTTTCTTTTCTGAAACATGAATTAAAAGCTATAGATCTCCTTTTTCTTTCCACTTTAACTGCATGGTAATGCTTTGATGTATCATATTTTCCTTATCATTTACTTCAAAGCACTTTTAAATTTCCACTTGATTTCTCCTTCTTGTTTTATTTTTAAAGTGTGCTGCTTGATTTTTGAAGATTTAGGAGATTGTCTCCTCATGTTAGTGTCATTACTTCCTGGTTTGGTTTGGCAGTTGATGGAGAATCCAGGCTTTATCTCATCAGCCCTGTGGAATGTGGTGATGGCTGGCTGGGAAATGCTCCTGGGGCCCCCAGGTGTCCTCTGCAGGGGGATGAGGTCCAGGTGGCTAATCGCCATGTCCAGATTTCCTGTACTCTATGAATCCTTTGCTTAATCTTCCACTTACTGAAGCAGGTTAAAATATCCCAAAATAATAGTAGATTTTTCTGTCTTTTGCTTTGTCAATTTGTTTTTATTTATTTTGAAGCTATATTATTAGGTATATACACATTTGGAATTTTTGTACCTTCCTGACAAACTGATTTTTTTCTTTTCTTTTCTTTTTTTAAGTACCCGGGATTGAACCCAGGGACTTGCACATGCTAGGTAAGCACTGAGCTATACCCTCTAACCCTTTTTTTAAAAAACTTGTAGATGGACACAGTGCCTTTACTTTGTTTATTTATTTTTATGTGGTGCTGAGGATTGAACCCAGTGCCTCCCACATGCTAGGCAAGTGCTGTACCACTACAGACCTAGCCCACCCTCCATCACTTTCAACTTTTATTTTGAAACAGGGACTCATTGAGTTACTAAGGCTGGCCTCAAACTTGTGACCCTCCTGCCTCACTCCCTGAGTAGCTGAGCAGATTGATTTTTTTTTCTTTTTTGGTGGGGTACCAGGAATTGAACCCAGGGCCACTTGACCACTGAGTCACATCCCCAGCCCTATTGTGTATTGTATTTAGAGACAGGGTCTCAGAGTTGCTTAGGGTCTCACTAAGTTGCTGAAACTGGCTCTGAACTAGCAATCCTCCTGCCTCAGCGTCCTGAGCTGCTGGGAGGACAGGTGTGTGCCACCAGCCCAGCCTGATAAGTCTTTTTAGTGTTATGAAATGTCTCCCTAAATTTTTATTAATGTTCCTAAGTGTTAGTATGTATCTAGATATTTACTACGCATCTCCAAAAGCGATGTTTACTTAGGTAACCAAGTTCTTTTTCCACACTCACTCAAGTTAACAAAAGCACCTGAGTAAAACCTGATTCCCAGCAGATGTCCTTATTTCCCACTTCCTCGCCAGTGTTTGCCCTGGTCAGCATCCGCATGCTGCCTGTGGGTGCTCCTCTTAATCCCGCTCTGGCCTCTGCCCTGTGCTTGCATGACCCAGACTTGCTGCACAGGAGGCACCTGTTCTGTGGGAAGCCCTGCTTTAGGCTTTGTCTGCCAGTGGCCTCCTGGAGTGCTTGGCCTGTCCCTCTGCCCAGTGAGTGTGCCCTGTGCCTAGAAGAGATGTCAGTAGCTCAACGGGGCTTTGCCAAGATGCCTCCAGGGGTGCTGTGTGCTCTGTCCTGCCCAGCGTCTGGAGCACGACAGACCCCATTGTGCCACACTGTCACTGCTGTCCTGGACTTAACCAAAGAGCAGGCGGTGGCCAGGGTCACCCAGGCACAGAGCACAGCAGCTCTGGAGGAACCCTGGGGCCGACCTCCAGGGTGCAGGGACGGCAAGCAGGAGGTGGCTTGGGGCCCTTGGTCAGTACCTGTGTGTTGTGAAGAACACAGGGCAGGGGAGCAGGCTGCAGTGCTGAGCCCACAGGGCTCCAGGAGGGCATCCTGAACCACTCTCTGGTGGGTGTGACCCGGTGGGGGTGTGAGGCACAACTGCCCCTGTGGCCGAAAGGGTATCTGGAGGCCTCCTGCCTCCTGCTCAGCACCGCCCAGCGGGCCAGCATTCTGGATATTTCCGTGGGCCACGCCTCCCACATGGGTGGCTGACCAGCTCAGTGAGAAGGGTCCCTCCCCAGAGGCCTCCTTCAGGCCTTCCCAGGTCAGCGCAGCTGCTCAGCCCTGCCCGCCTTCCAGGGATGGCTGGTGTGACGGAGGTGTCTGAGGCTGGTGAGGTCTGTTGGTGCTGCTCTCTGCACGTCTGTGCTCACGGGCAGTCAGCACGTGGGGCTGGCCACCATGGTGGTGCCTGGTGGTCTCCACTGGCTCACGGAGCACCCTCTGGTCTTCCCAGGCCCTGAGGCCACCTGGGCCTCTCACACCTCACCCCTCCAGCAGGCCCTGGTCCTCCTGCAGGGAGGGCCCAAGACACCAGGGCCCTTGCCAGCTGTCTCCTGGGGAGCCGAGGGGTTTGATCGGGAAGGGAGATTCATGCCAGGGGGTTTCCTGTGTCTCCTGGGACATGCTTGCTCATGGCCTTCTCGGGCTGTGCGGAATCGGCCTCTCTGGTGCTGTTTCTGCAGGAGGCTGCCTCCCTGTCCTGACTCTCTCTGTGGGGGAACTGCTGGGCTCACTTTCCGAGCCCGGAGTGGGACAGCCCTGAGGCTGAGCGGACCCTGTCCACCTCTGGAGCAGGCTCTTCTGGTGTTCTTCTTGCTGCCTGTGTGTGGCCTCCCTTTCTTGCCTGTCCTGGCCATATCCAGGCCCCATGGACAAGGTGGCCCCAGAAGGAGCAGTTCACCAGGGCTCGCCCCAAGGCCAGCAGGCCCGGAGCTTTCCTACCAGGATAGTAGTAAGCCTAGGATTTAGTTTCTGCAGTAGGTAGAGTGTTCTTTACATCTCCTACTTCTTAAGTCTGTTTTGGTAATTTGAATTTTCTGGGGAATGTGTTCATTTTATCTAAATTTCAGGTCTGTTGCTGTGAAGCCCAGAGTGTCTCCAGATCCCTAACCGTCCCTGGAGCTTCCTGCCTTTTATTGGGGTGGGTGGGGGAGGCACTGGGGGTTGATCTCAGGGGCCCTTGACCGCTGAGCCCCACCCCCCGCCCTATTTTGTAGTTTATTGAGAGACAGGGTCTCACTGAGTTGCTCAGTGCCTCACCACTGCTGAGGCTGGCTTTGGATTCATGATCCTCCTGCCTCAGCCTCCAGAGCTGCTGGGATGACAGGTGTGGCCACCATGCCTGGTGCTTCCTGTCTTCTTGTCAGGGTTCAGCCTCGTCTGTGCACCAGCCTCACCATGGCATTGTCAACTTTACTAGTCCAAACTTTGGGATTGGTTGATCTGCTTCATTATGTTTAAAATGATATCTTTCATTAACGTCTGCTTTTTATTCTTTTTCTTACAGTTTCTTCAGGTTTTATTGTGTTCTTTCCACCTGCTTGGGATACACCCTTAACTCATTGTGTTTCACTTTTATTATTTTCTGATAGATGCTTATAGAACTAGAAATTCCTTAATAAGCAGAGCTGGAGACACCTCACTCAGGATTTGATATTTGATGTCTGAATTCTGAGTTCAGATGCGCCCCTGCCCAGAGCAGCTCTTAAACCTGTGCAGTGTCTGGGAGTGGGTCACATTTCTGAAGGTCATGTTCAAGTCCTTGTCCCTACTGGTCTGTTGGCCCCTAAAATCTGCGCCCGTGACCCCATGTGGCTGGGGCTGTTTCCAGGTGATGTTGCGAGACCCTCAGTCCCACTGACGTCCCTCAAGCCTTCCTGTGATCCAGCGGTCTTGGTTCATCTCCGCAGAATGGGTTCCCACCCTGGGTCTGTGGAAGGCCCTGGGCCTGCGCCCTGCCTCTGCTCCGGGGCAGCACTGGGAACACTGCCCTGGGTCTGTGGACTGCTTTTCCTTTCCCTAACAAAGCAGAACATTTTGATCTAAAACATTTTGAACCAGTTTGTGGACCCAGCTCCTGTGGTGGGTGCTCTCTGGTGCATCTCAGAGTGTCGCCTACCCAGGTCCTGACGCTCCTTCCTGCGTTCCTGCCGTGACCTTCCTGCTCGCTCACCTCGAGTCAGTTTGAACGCGACTGGGCACTTGCTGTTCCGCATGGACATCTGGTTCTAGCATAGTTGTCCCCCCACCCCCACCCAGCCGCTTTTTCCTTTTGTCGGAGTCGCTTGGCTGGTGGGCATGGATTGTGGGCACAGAGCACCAAGGGAGGAACACGTGGGCAGGGCTGGACTGGTGCCCCCTGGGCGCTCCTTGGGTAGCCAGGGGCTGTGGGTCAGGGCGCTTGGCAGTTGGGATGGTCTGGTGGGGCATGAACATTTCAAGGATTCCTCAGACTCGACAAGGTGTCCAGGGCATGGGCATGATGGCACAGTGGCGGGTGCCAGGATTCCACATTAGGGCTTGGGAGAGAGAAGGGGCAGCAGTGGGTTGGGGACGTGGGGTCACTGATAAGCCCAATGCTCGTGCTGCTTAGAGGGAAGACGCAGGGTGGACCACAGGGGTGGTCTGGGGAGGTGTGGACCCAGCTCACTGCCTCTGTGGAGCCCACCAGATGTGGTGTCCAGGAAGGAAGTGGAGAGTTGGGGCAGCAGGGTGGAGGGCTCTGGACTCTGCAGCTTTGGGTGTGTTTGTGGGGTCAGGATCGCATAATGGCCACGTGGGTTAGTTTTCTGTCATTGTGACCAAACTCCTGACAAGAATAACTTAGAGGGCAGACATTGCAGCCAGGAAGCAGAGAGAGAGAGAAAGCTGGGCACAAGACCCAATCCCTAAGGGTGGCCTCAGCAGCCCACCTCCTCAGTTGGGTCCCCCTCCCAGTTGTCCTTCAGCTATCTGTAGATGAGTCCATCACCCTCGGATGGAGCCAGAGCCCTTGTGAGGTAACCATTGCCCACAAGTCTCATCTCTGAGCACTGGAGATTTGGAGGACATTCTAGATCCAGACACCAGGAAAGGATCTGGTGTCAGGAAGGGGGGTGTCTGGAGGGGAAGAGGTCACCTGAGCATGCTCTGGGCAGGAGGGGCTGAGGTGCCGCTCCTCTTCTGGCCACACATTTGAAAGATCCAGAGGATGGAGACTCCCCAGGCCAGAGGGACCAGGGGCAGGCAGGGAGGGCACCAGGGGAGGAAGAAGGAAGTGGTGGCTGGGGAGGAGGTGGCGGGCAGAGGTGCTGAAGAGGGGAGAGGGGAGAGGCTGTGGGGCTTGGGTGCTGGAGCGTGAGGTGAGTGGGCACAGGTGGGGACATGCACCCGTCAGGTCGGGTGCTGTGGTGTGGAACTGGGCGCTCTGTCCTCTGTTCTGATGCTTGGCTCTCTTTTGCAGAATCAAAGCAAGGAGTTTCCCAAGCGTCCGCATCTTCCCCCAAACTGGACAGATACAAAATGGCAAGGCAGTTGACAGAAAACGCCATCAGGGTAAAGACCCCTGGGACCAGGGGAGGGAGTACTTTCTGAAGCAGGCATTTGTTTTGGAATTTGGAGAGTGTCTGCTGGGCTTGGCGGCCCTGCTGTGGAGACACTTCCCTGCCTGCATAGAGGCTGGAGCCCCCTGTGGTGTGGGTGTGACCCCATGTCAGTCTGCACACTTCTCCTGACTGGAGGGCCAGGGATATCCCCCCCTGCTCAGAGAACCCCGGGCCCTTCCCCCCAGGGGGCCGACATGGTGGTGCAGTGCCGTGGGGATGTGGTGTGTGTGTGCAGGGCTTGGTGCCGCAGGAGAGGAACTCTGGGGGGAGGGCAGGAAGCCCGTCTTCTCCCTCTGCAACACCCACGCGGGACCTGGGGAAATGGAGAAGGTGTCTTGTCCTGTGTGTGGGAAGGCACCACATCTGACACCCGCCAACGTGAAGCTCAGGTGACCGGGGAAGGGACTGCTGCCTGGGCGCTGGTGGTCCTACTCCCAGGGCCCCGCTGGGGCAGGAATGTGAAAGGCCATTGACACCAGCCACCTGCAGCAAGCAGCCTCATGCCTGAACCTTCCCCTGAGGCACTCACCAGTGCAGGAACAAGGTGTCATAGGCTGGGCTCCCAGAGGAGCAGGACAGTCATGGTGAGGAAAGTTCCATCACCCTCCTGGCCCTTGCAGGTGTCCCCTCCCGGCCCCCACCCCCAATCCTGACCACCACGGTGTGCTTTTTGTGCTTTCCATCTCTGACCTCTGACCTCTCTGGAATTCCATGTAAGAAGACTGTGCCACTCATTGATTTTCACATTATTTTTTTTCCTGAAAGCTTAGAATATATAAGCGTTGGGGGCTACAAATGTTCCTCTAAGTACTGCTTGAGCTGTTTGTCATAAGATTTTATTTTGTAGAATTTTTGTTGTTATTCAGCCAAAAAGTATTTCATCATCCATATTATGATTTCTTCATTGATCCATGAGTTACCTGAAAGCACCGTTCTTCATGTCTGTACTTGAGGGTTTTCTGGAGTTGTGCTGTCCTTGTTTTCTAACCTGCTTTGTGGTTGAGAATGTGACACGTGGAGTGTTGTTCCATTGAGCAATGCTTGGGCTTGTTTCATGCCTAACATTTTCTTAATTTGCGTGAGAGTGAGTGTACAGCTGTCCATTCACACTCATTAGGGAGAGTTTGTCATTTGACTTATTCAGATCTTCTGTGGCCTTACTGGTTTTTTTATCTGTGCTCTACCATTTACTGAAAAACACGTTAAAATAGTCTGATGTAATTGTGACTTGTCTACTTGTAGGTCTGCCCATTTTTGCTTTATATACTTTCTTGCCCTCATAATAGGTTCACAGAAATGTATATTTCTGGTAAATTGAAACTATTTCAAATTATGAAATGATTACCCTAATAAAGTTTACTCATCTCAAATGCTATCTTGTCTTGTGTATATCCTTTTATTTTCTAACCTAGCTGTAGGTTTACGTTTTTTAATGATCTCTTATAAACAACAGGTCTGTCCTTTAGCTTGAGTGTGTAGTGTACTTGCCTGTAATTAGACTGGGTATGCAGCAGGTCTGCTGTCTGATTTCATTTGCTCAGCATATCCTGTTTGTTCAGTTTTCTTTTCTTCTCTTTCTGTGCCTTCTCTTGAACTGATACCGTGTATGTGTGTGTGTGTGTGTGTTTCTGGGGTGGAACCCAGGGCCTTGTGCATGCCAGGCAAGTGCTCTGCCTCAGGGCCATATCCCAGCCCTGGACCGATGACATTTTTTATTGCATTTCCTTCTGTCTCATGTGATAAGAGTCTTATACTCTTTTCATCTACTTTTAAAATAGTTTTTTAAAAAATATTTTTAATTGTAATTGGACATAATGCCTTTATTTTATTAATTTATCTTTATGTGGTGCTGAGGATTGAACCCAAGGCCTCACACGTGCGAGGCGAGCGCTCTACTGCTGAGCCCCAGCCCAGCCCTCTTTCCATCTTTTGTGGTTCCTTTTGGAATGGTATTCTGCTGACTTACCAAGATGAGTCTATTTTCTGAAGTTATGCAGCACAGGGCATGGGGTTGAGCAGAGCCTGGCGTGTTCCTTGGGGAGCTACAGGGTGCCTGCCTTCTCACACTGTCCAGCTCCCCTGTGGGCCGTCAGGCTGCCTGGCTTACCAAGTGGAGGGCGGCTGGGCCTCTGGCCTTCCTCAGCTATGTGTTCCTGGGGGTGGCGCACAGGTCCCTGCTGGGGACCGTGCAGTGGTCTTATGCTGCATGACCTGCTTCCAGGATCAGCTGCATGGAACAGCGTCTGCTGACCGTCCTGCAATCTCTGGGGCGCAGCCTGGAGGTGTCCACCCAGGGTCTCAAGACTGACATCAGGCAGGGTGGGCTAGAGGGTCTGCTTCTGAGCTCCCTTGGGCATCATCGGAAGGCCTCCTTGCGGTGTCCTTTCAGCCAGCAGTGGGGAAGGGACAGCTCTGCGGCTGCTGGAGGGTTCTCCTGACTGGTTCCCAGCAGGGCCTGACTTTTCCCTAATTCAGAGTCAACGAACGATGTCAACAGTCCTGGTGACATCCTGACCCTCCCTGTTGCAGGCACCTGTTGGTTAGGGTGGGACAGAGGCCTTACCTTTGGTGTAGCAGGGGCTCTGCAGAGTTCAACTCAGCATGGCACCTTCAGTGTGCCTGGACCACCAGGACCCTGGTGACTCAGCCCCTCTTCCTGCCTCAGCCCCACTGACCCTGCGCCTGGCAGTGACTGAGTCCAGGCTGTATCTTCTACCTTGGTTCAGGGATGCCCTCATGACTGTCAGTCTGTCTTCAGTTGCTATAACAAAATACCCAAGACTGGGAACTTTATCAAGGAAAGATGTTATTTGCCTCATGTATTGGAGGCTGAAACTCCAAGCTGAGGTGGCCCTCTCTGTGCAGCCCCTGGTGAGGCCCCCTTTGGCATCACATCACCATAGATGGCATCAAGGTGGGACTGCATGCAAGAGGGAGGACATGTAGGAAGAGAGGGAGCCAGAGCGGCGGGGGCCAGGTGATCTTTATAACAACTCACTGTGGGAGAGCTAACTTGACCCTGGAGACCTGGGGCAGCCCCCAGTGGCCTAGCCACCTCCCACCAGGCCTGCCTGGTAAAGACAGTGCCTCTTGGCAACCTGCACTGGGAACCATGCCCCAAGCACATGAGCCCCTGGTCCCAGCCATGGGTGAGCCCCCCTGCACAGGCGCCCCCCACCCAACCGTGTGGTATTCTCCGAACAGGAGGCAGGGTCTGCCCTCTGCACAGTCTGCCTCCTTCTGCTTTGCAAACCCCCCTGTGGGGAGACAGACCTCTGTCTCTCTGTGCTTCTGTTAAGTCATGTCTGCCATTTTAGGAAAAGAAGATTTTCTCCATCTATGGACACTACCCAGTGATCCGGGCTGCTCTGCGGAAGAAGGGCTGGGTGGAGAAGAAGTTCCACTTCCTTCCCAAGGCCCTTCCCAGTGTGGAGGTCGGAGGGGAAGGGGCCGCTGGTACAGTATCAGAGAGGCCTGTGCTTCTGTAGGGGGGCACTCCGCTAGTCTGTCGCAGGGCCGAGCTGTGTGTGGGGATGCCCACTCCTGCTGGGGTCTCATTCCATATCTCCACCACCTTCCCAGCTCCCCAACCCAGGCACCCATTCACTGGGCAAGCCCATCAGGGTACTGGTCACTTTTTCACATCACCATGTCCATGCCCAGCCCAAGTGTTCCTCCTCTGGCCCAGCCCCCTGCAGTCCTCAGGCGCCCACAATGCCAGCTGCTCCCCCAGGACCCTCTGTCCCTGCACTGCTCTGCACAGTGTGTCTGCACTAGACAGTCCCAGGGCGTGGAGACTCAGGCCACACATCTCCCTCACCCCCAAGTCCCAGAAGGGACCCTCCTCCACCGCCCAGGTCCTAAGACTCATCATGCTGACTTCTGGGCTGCCTCCACTGCCCCTCCACATGGGGACATCTGGGCCTCCAGGGCCCCGGGGTCCCAACCCTGGCATACCCCAGGTGGGTGCCATGCCACGGAGATCGTAGGTGGCTGTTCTGTCTGCTACATGACCCTGACAGTGGAGGGGCTCCAGTGAGGTGCCCGGCTGCACCAGCCTGTCTCTTATGCATGTTTTGTTTGCAGATAACAAATGCACTGACATCAAAGAAAACCAAGCAATAGCCCTGGAGAAGATGGAGGACATCCACAGTGTGATGGTAGGCCCACGCACTGGCCCAGGGGCCCTGGTGACCATGCCTCGGCAAGGTCCCTTGTGCTACCATCTCCCTTGGCGCACACTCTGGCCTGCACGAGCAGGGACAACAGACCGAGATCACCGCAGATGGGGATAGGGCCTTTGTGGGCCTGGGTTGTGTGGGGCGGTGGGGAGCTGGCTGTGCTGTAAGGCAGATCCTGGGACGTGGCCATGCGCCAGATAGGGTCTCCACAAATACAGCTGCCCGCAGCAGCAGCACCTCGCCCCCACTCAGTGGCTCTGGAGAGGACCCTCCATGGAGAAGGTACATGTGCCTAACTGAAGTGGGGGAGGAGGTACGTGTGGTGCAAAAGACCTAAGAATTCAAGTATCCAGAGTATTCATAAGAACTCACAAATCAACCATGAAAAGACAGAAAAACAGGCCAGTGTGGCTAGACACCTCAGGAATGGCCAAGGAGCACACCATTCTGAGCTCACAGCACTAACTGCAGCTGCACGTGGCAGCCCAGGTACTGTCCTGGTCTGCCGTGGAGGACACGAGGCTGAGGCACTCACAGCTGCGGAGGTTCTGGAGGCTGGGAGTCCCATACCACAGACTGCGCTGGGGGCCTCCACAGTGGGCCATCCAGGGTGGCAGACAGGGAGGGAGATGCGCTCACAGCCCAGGCTCCTCCCTGTGAGCATGGTCCCCAGTGAGGTGGGCCATTGAGACCAAACAGCCCTGCCCTGGGGCCTGAGTGTCCAGCACAGGCTTTTTCAGGGCGTGTTCCACTTAGCAATGCATCTCTGTGCGGCAAAGAAAGGGAGTGGGGTCCTTAGCTCAGGCTGCTGTGACAAGGACCATGACTGGTGGCCCATCTCACAGTTCTGGAGGCTGGACGCCTGGGACCAGGTGCTATCCTCCTGGCTGGCAGGTGATGGACTCCTTGCTGGTCCTCACAAGGTGGGAAGGGTGAGAGTCTCTCCAAGGTCCTTTTATAAAGGCACTGATCCCATTTATGAGGGCTCCACCCCGGTGACCTCATTTCCTCCCAGAGTCTGCACCTAAAACTGTCACCTTGGGGGTGAAGATGCCTGCGTGAATTTGGGAGACACAATATTCCACCTGTGGCACATGGAAGAGGGGACACCTCCAGGGAGCATGGCCGGCTAATGATGCTTCACCCCGGGCACGGCGGTTACTGCCCCCTGCTGGGTACTTTTATGCTTCTAAGAATTCATAACAGGATTTAGAAATGAGACTTCCACCCAAAAGTGAGGACCAAAACCATGGACATCTCTCTAAGGGTGGGAGAAGGTCCCACCCTGGAAAGAAGAGTGCCCCAGAGTCCAGCGAACCAGGAGGTTTGGGGCGTGGCCGCGAGCCGGGTGGGAGGAGGCCCTAGGCCCAGCAGCCAGGCCAGAGCTGGTGGAGTCCTGCTGCAGGATCCCTCACACTCAGGCCCAGCCCCGGCCGTCCGTCCGCACCCTCGGGCCATACAAGCTTGCCTGCAGAAACTGGCCCAGAAGGGGCTTCACTTCACCAAGGCGAAGGGGCAGGGGTTATCCGGGGCGGGATTTTAGAGCACGTTTTCCTCTCCTGGTGTCTCTGCTTGGTTACGTTGGAGCACACTCATGCCACTGCTGGTCATTAGAAATCACCTACAGCCAGGGTCGCCCCGCCTCAGCGTCGGCTCCGCCCAGACCTCGTCTCCTACCGTGGGGGAGAAGACAGCCCCCCAGGGTTCGTGGAGCATCGCGGTCACCCCGAGTCGCAGGTGGCATGAACCTGGGTCATGGCTGCTGTCGCGCCACCACTGGGGCCTTGGGCAGCGAGTGGCCACAGCCGCGGTGGAAGGCCTGCTGGAGCCGTCCGGCCACAGGCCGGTCCAGTCCTGTGTGTCTCGGCAGTGTCTCGGCAGTGTCCCGCTGTCTAGGAGGCGGAGCTGAGTGGCGGCTGTTGACAGCGGTCTCTTCTTGCCAGTCTAGGTTGGTAAAGAACGAGATGCCGTACCTTCTCTGGACTATCAAGAGGGATGTGGTGGACTACCACAGCCTGACCTATGACCAGATGCTGAACCACTACGCCAAGACCGCCTCCTTCACCACCAAGGTGGGCGGAGCGCGCGGGCCCCAGGCGCCTGCAGGTGGGCGGAGCCGGCTGTCAGCGGTGGGCGGAGCGCGCGGGCCCCAGGCGCCTGCAGGTGGGCGGAGCCGGCTGTCAGCGGTGGGCGGAGCGCGCGGGCCCCAGGCGCCTGCAGGTGGGCGGAGCCGGCTGTCAGCGGTGGGCGGAGCGCGGGCAGGCCCTGGGCCTCGGGGCTGGACAGCCAGCGCCGGGTCAGTGGGCTCCTCCCCAGGATGCCCCACCTCCTGTGGCTGGTCGCTGGGCACCTGCCCGGCTGCCCACGCCCCAGGGCGCCTCTGTGTCTCTGGCTATACCACCGCGTGCTCCCAGGGCCACAGAAGCCCCCTCCTCAGGGCACACTGGCCAAGCCAAGGACGGGTCCCAGGTGGACGAACAGTCCTCGCCTTGCGGGTGCGGTGCGGCCGGGCTGCCCCTGCGGGCCCCTGACGTGCCGCTGTCTCTGGAGATCGGGCTGTGTGTGAACATGCGAAGCCTGCCATGGTACGTCCAGGTGAACCCCGACTCCTTCTTCCCGCGCTGCTACAGCCTCTGCACTGAGAGCGAAAAGCAGGAGTTCCTGGGTAAGTGACGGACTACCTCCTGGGGACTGCCAGGACCGCTAAGGAAGGACCACCCTCCACTCAGCGAGAACCAGTCCAGAGACTTCCACTGGCAGTGCGGGGAGCATGGGAGGGAGGAGGTGTCAGAGGATGCAGAGCGGGTGTGGCTGAGTGGCTCTGAGCTGCTCTGCCTGCTTGTCACTGACCTGGACTGAGTGACCACTGTGCTGCTCAGAGCCAGGCTGGGCCTCAAGCCTGGGAACACGGGACCCACCGCTGTGTGCTGCATCTGCACTGGGGGGTGCAGACAAGACCCCTGGGCAGGAGGGCTCAGCCACCTGAGGGTCCAGGGGCCCAGAGAGGCCCTGGGATGGGGATAGGGGTTGGGAGACCCCAGAACATCCTGGAGCTGTAGCAGAAGAGCTTCTAGAAAGATCCCTCGGGCCCTATGCTGAGACGGGTGGAGACGGGGGTGGGGCTGAAGACAGGACCCGAGAAAGCACAGGGAGGGAAGAGCAGGAGGGGGGTGGACAGGGCAGCTGGGGGCAGAAGTGAGGCCCTGCAGGGCTTAGGTGCTGGCTGAGAGTAATGGGGAGCCTTGCCTTGCCTACTGCATCCCCATCCCCAGTCCTGGACGTGGGCAGCAACTGAGGCCTCCATTTCCTTCCAGAGGACTTCCGGCGCACGGTGGCTTCTAGCATCCTCAAGTGGGTGGTCAGCCACCAGAACTACAACAGAAACAGGCCCAGGAGGCGGGAGGAGGCCAGGCAAAGCGACACTGGCCCCAGGAAAGGTAAGGGCCGGTGGGTGCCACCGTGGTTCTAGGGTCTGAGCAGCCCTCTCCCGGCGCCCGCGCATCTGGCTCTCCCAGTGATTCTCACTGGTTGGCCTTTCCTGCCTTTACTGGGGGCCTGGGAGGTCATGACCCTCATCCCACAGTGGCACCAGAGCTCACAGTGCCAAGGGTGCTGACTCAGGAGAGGACCACACTCTCCCGCTCCCCCTGTGGCCTATGGACATAAGTGGGTTACTCTGGAAAATTTGTTTCAGCACATTTTAGCTTCACAGCAAAATTGTGCAGAAGGCACAGGAGTCTCCTATACCCTGCCCACCACTGCCACCCCCAAGAGTGGTGCATTTGTTACAGTCAAAGGCTAAATGTTGGCAAACTGATTTGTGAATGTGGCAGTCCCAGGCCACAAGTGGTTCCGGGGGCTCCCAGTTCAGCAGAAGGTGAACAGGGGAGGGCCGTTATGGGGTAGGTGTGGAAGCAGAGGGAAATGTCGCTGGCTGCCTCAGGTTGGAGCTGCTGCCTCATTTGCCTGTCCAGGTGGGACGTTGAAGATGTGTGACCAACGTCCCCCTGGCCACCTGTGGTTGGCTCAGCTGGCCCCTGTGGCCTTGGTCCCTTTGCTGTTCCATAAAGGTGGTATAGCTGGAGTCCCAGGACCGTAGTTTCTGCAGACTGACTTTATTTGCTTGTCCATAACCCTTTGAGGTCCTGTCCACCATGGGTTGATGGCTGTTCCCTGCAGGGCTGAATAACCTGGCACTCTGGCCTGTTTATCCGCTCGCCCCAAGGGCATCTGTGTGATAAAGCTGCAGTGAAGCTCCGTGGGTGGGTCTTGTGGGTGTAAGTCTTCCACTCATTTGGGTGAATACCAAGGAGTGCGATTGCTAGGCACTGTGGCAGGAATGTGTTGAGTTCCATGAGAAATCGCCCACTGTGTCCCAGGTGGTGGCACCCTGCCTTCCCACCAGCCTGCGCTCACAGATGTGCTGCATGTCCTCGGTGCTGCAGAGTGGTCACAGCATCACCCGCTATTAACTTCAGCTCCTCAGCAACAGGATGTGGAACATCCTGTCCTGCGTGGCTGGCCGTCTCTGCATCTGCGTCTGTCAGATCCCCTGTCCCATCTTAAATCTGGCTGTTGTCTGCTTGCTGTTTCAAGAGTTCTTTGCTGCACTGGATCATTCCGTTACCAAACTGGGAGGTGTTTTCTCCCAGGTGGCCACTTGTCTTCCCCTCTTCTTGACAGGGCCTCTCACAGAGCAGACACATCTGCTTTTAATGATTTCTGACTTCCCAGTGATTTCTTTCATGGATGGCACCTTTGGCCCCCCATGAAAAGGCGCTGAGACCCCAAGTCGTCTGGATTTTGTTTCTTCTCCTGGGAGTTCTGTAGTTTTCCACTTTACATGGGGCCTGAAACCCTTTGGAGTTAATTTGAGGGAAGATGTGCATTCTGTGCCTGGATTTGGTTTTGTTTGCCTCTGCATTTGGACGCCCAGCTGCTCCACACCCTTGGTTGAAAGACTGTCTTTGCCCATTGTTACATCTGCTCCTTGGTAGAGAGGATGACATCTGTGTGGGCCTGTTCTGGACTCTATTCTGTCCATGGATCTCTATGTATTCTGTCCCCAGGACCATGCTGTCTTGACCACAGTGGGCACAGAAGTTGCTAAGTCAGCTAGAGTTAGTTAGGTTAGTTTTTCTCCTTCGATTTGGAGTTGAAGCAGATTCTGGTCTTGGGCCTCTCGGTATGACTTTAGAATCAGTTTGTCAATATTCACAAAATAACTTGATGTGCTTTCGGTTGGGACTATGTATAGACCAAACTCTGAAGAACTGACATTAAGATAATATTGAGTCTTTTCTACTCATGCACACAGCATAACTCTTCATTTATTTAGTTCTTTGAGATCATTTATCACAGTTTTGTGGGGTTTTCCTTACACAGATCTTACACGTATGTTGTTATTCTTATTTATACATAAATATTTCAACTTTGGGGGTGCTAATATAAATGCTATTTTGTTTTTAATTTCAAATTCCAATTGTTCATTGTGGTTATATAATAAAGTTATTTCCTCCAGGAGTGTGCGTGTCTGTTTTGGATTTTCTACATAGACAACAATGCCATCTGGAATAAAGACAGTTTTATTTCTTCTTTTCCAATCTGTATACTTTTTATTTCCTTGTCTTATTGCATTATCTAGCATTTCCAACACAGTGTTGAAAATCAGTGGTGAGAGAGGATGTCCTGGCCTTGTTCTGATCCCTGCAAGATAGCTGCTGATTCTCACCATTAAGTATGATGCTAGTTGTGCATCTGTGGTGGATATTCTTTTCACATTGAAGAAGTTTTCTTCCTGAGGGTTTTTATCACGAGTAGGTGTTGGATTTGTCAAATTATTTTCCTGCATCTGATCTTTAGCTTTTTTTTTTTTTTTTTTTTTTTTGGTACCAGGGATTGAACTAAGGGGTGCTTACACTGAGCCACATCCCCAGCTCTTTTTTGTATTTTATTTTGAGACAGTTTCACAGGTGCTAAGGCTGGCTTTGAACTTGTGATCCTCCTGCCTCAGCCTCCCAAACTGATGGGATTACAGGCATGCAGCACCGTGTCCAGCTTCTTTAGCCTCTTGATGTTATCTGTTAAGTGAGATATTTAAGTCATTTAATATATAGTCGGATGTGACACACAGAGAGACATTCAGAATGGAATAGCAAAAAGACTAGGCTCATGACAGATCCAGAAGGAAGAGTCAGTCTGCCTTACAGGTAAGAGGAGGGTTTCCACACAGAATGTGGGTGCTCAACCAGTGTGTGGAGAGCAAGAGCTGGGGCATCCAGGGCAAAGCCTCCACTGGGGTCCACAGCCCCACCTAAGTGAGTTTTGCTCCTGTGGACTTCCTCTCTGTGTCCACCTGCTGTGCCCCTGCCTCCGGCAGTTCAGACTCGGGCGTGACCGTCTGTCTCTCCAGCTTGGAGACGGTGTTTTTGCCTCACTTCTCTGATAGATCAGGGAAGAGCTGTTAGTTTTTCATGGGCTCAGCTTTTGCTTGTGAGAATGGAGTGTGACTTTCGTGCATAAATAAAATAAAGGTGTGGTGTCCATCTACTAAAAACAAATTAAAAAAAAAAAAGGAGGAAATCTGAGCGCCTGCAGTCATCTCTGCAGAAGTGTTGCTGGGAAGTCTGTGCCGCATCACAGCTGCCCCTGCAAGTGAGTCCTGAGTCCCCCGTTGCTTTCACACACTGCAGGCTCGCCCCAGGGCCAGCGGGGCCATGGTTGCTTTCAGTCAGTACCCACATCCCTGATGCTGCCCAAGACTTGCTTTCACCCTGCACTTCCTGAGATTGAACAGTGGTCCTGAGGCCTGGGGTTCAGAAGGATGTGGTGCTGTGTGATGGACAGGTGCAGGGGCCTCGGGGACATCTGTGCATGTGCTCTGAGAAGCCGGTCGGGCTGGGGAGCACCTACAGTAGCCCAATGTGGTCATATCAGAGTTTTTGAAAAAGTTTGCAAGTAGCATCTCCTTGCTGGCAGGAGAGCTGTCTGGTCCTCAGAGGGGAAGGGGTGCACGCCAAGCAGAGGAGGACGGTCCAGTGCGGGGAGAGGTCCCCTGCCCAGAAGGAGGTATCACCCTGTGGTGGCTGCCTAGAGGACCTCTGTGGCTGAGTGATGGCCTTTGTCCCCTTGGCATGGGACACACCAACACCTGTGCTTGGGTTTCAGATCCTGAGGATGCAGATGAGAAGTTCAGGGGCCTCTCGGGGCAGCTTGTGGACACAGCCTGCAAGGTGTGCCAGGCCTACCTGGGGCAGCTGGAGCACGAGGACATCGACGTGTCCGAGAGCAGCAAAGAGGAGCTCTCCGAGGATGAGTGGAATGACCTGATCCAGCAGTACTACTCCCTTGTCCAGTAAGACATGCCTCCCATGGCCCTGAATGCAGAGGCGCGGATGTGGGCACTTGCACTGGCCTCCGTTCCCCTGGGGGTATCAGGAGCTTCCTGGGGCCAGCAGCCTTTAGTGCTGGGCTCCTGTCTGGGCTTCGGGTGCCTGCCTGGGCATCTGGACCCCTGCCTGGATGTCTGGTGCTTGTCCAGGTGTCAGGCTCCTGCTTGAGCAGTGGGACTTCAGCCCGCGTTGGGCTGTATGTCAGGGCTCCTGCTTGTGTGTCGGGGCTCCTGTCTGGGTGTTGGGCTGTGTGTCAGGGCTCCTATCTGTTTGTCAGGGCTCCTGCTTGTGTGTCGGGGCTCCTGTCTGGGTGTTGGGCTGTGAGTCAGGGTTCCTGTCTGTGTGTCGGGGCTCCTGTCTGGGTGTTGGGCTGTATGTCAGGGCTCCTGCTTGTGTGTCGGGGCTCCTGTCTGGGTGTTGGGCTGTGTGTCAGGGTTCCTGTCTGTGTGTCGGGGCTCCTGTCTGTGTGTCAGGGTTCCTGTCTGTGTGTCAGGGCTCCTGTCTGTGTGTCGGGGCTCCTGCCTGGATGTCAGGGCTCCTGCCTGGGTGTTGGGGCTCCTGCCTGGGTGTTGGAGCTCCTGCCTGGGTGTTGGGCTGGGTATCGGGGCTCCTACCTGGATATTGGGGCTCCTGATGTGTGTTGGGGCTCCTGATTGTGTGTCGGGGCTCCTGTCTGGGTGTTGGGCTCCTGCCTGGGTGTCGGGGCTCCTGCCTGGGTGTCGGGGCTCCTGTCTAGGTGTCAGGGCTCCTTTCTGGCTGTTGGGCTCCTGACTGTGTGTCAGGGCTCCTGTCTGGGTTTTGGGGCTCCTGTCTGTGTGTCGGGGCTCCTGCCTGGGTGTTGGGTGTTGGGACTCCTGTCTGGTTATTGGGTGTTGGGGCTCCTGCCTGTGTGTTGGGTGTCTCTCTGGGTGCTGGGCTGCCCAGGTCTTCTGCTGCCTGTCCCCCCAGTCCCCTGCTGGCTGTGGACAGGAGGACACCCTCGGGTGCCTCTGGGTACCACCTTTATGTGTAGGCTCACTTGATCCCACAGCAGCCTGGCAGGTCTGAGCAGCTGCACCTGGCTGGCTCTGGGTAGTAGGTGAGGGACTGTCTGCAGGGCTGCCCAGGCCTGGGCTGTCCAGGATGCTCACTATCCCTACTGCTGCAGCCCTATTCACCTCCCCCCCTCCGGGGGGCCAAGTCCTTCCCAGCCACCATGGGGGAGAAGAGAGGGGCGGAGGCGGCCCAGGCCCCTTGGGGCAAAGGAGGGGGACAAGCCCCCATTCAGGAGGGTCTGCTGGGCTTCCATGCCATCCCAGGGCATTTTGGTCCCTGTCCCTTCTTTCCTTCCTCCTTCCTGTCCTGCTGAGGCACAAAGTGGACCCTGTCACTGGTGTGGTGTGCAGCATGGGTGCAGGTGATGGGGGTGGTGAACCTGACAGCCACACGCTGTCAGGAGGGGACCAAGCTAGCCCCTCGGCCTGGCCACCCGGGAGGAGGCTCGCCTCTGCTTCCTGCCAGCTGGGGTCGAGAGGACAAGGGGCGGGCGGGCGGGTGGGGAGTGGACACGGCACTGCCACTCTCTGGCCCCTGGGTACTCCGAAGATACTGGCACTCCTCTGAGGACCTGATGGTGTCCCCTCCTTCTTCCTGAGATGCCAAGGGGACCTTAGAGATGCCAGCCACGTTTGGAGACTTCCGTGTCTCTCTTGACCCTGTGGCTGCTGGCTCGAATGCAGTGAAGTAGCCTTCTCTTCTGTGATCACAGGAGATTTATCTTCTGTCGTAAAGAAATACCCTCTTAGCCTCTTCTGAGTGATTCTTCCCTTACTTTCCACTTTTTCTGATAAAGTACAGCGATGCTGGCCTTCTGTTTACTCTGTGTGTGTGTGTGTGTGTGTGTGTGTGTGTGTGTGGCTACAGGGTGGAGCCAAGGCCTGGGGCCTGCTAGGCCCTCTACACTGAGCTACCCTGCCCTCCACACCAGCGTTCTTTAGTTTGCAAGGTATGGATCTTTTTTGTTGTTGTTGTTCCAACCTTTTGCTTTTTATCTACTGGTACCTTTAAAGTGTGTCATAGTGTCACTGTCATCCCAGAGACTTGGGAGGCTGTTGTAGGAGGATCACATTCAAGGCCAAACCTGGCAACTTAGTGAGAACCTGCCTCAAAATAAAAGAGTAAATAAACAGGGCTGGGCTGCAGCTCTGTGGTAGGGCACCCCCGGGCTCAGTCCCCAGGGCTGCTGCTCCGTGATTAGGCACAATCGGCTCAGTCCCCAGGGCTGCAGCTCCATGGTAGGGCACCCCCAGGCTCAGTCCCCAGGGCTCAGCTCCGTGGTAGGGCACCCAGGCTCAGTCCCCAGGGCTGCAGCTCCCTGGTAGGGCACCCCCAGCTCAGTCCCCAGGGCTGCAGCTCCATGGTAGGGCACCCTGGGCTTAGTCCCCAGGGCTCAGCTCCGTGGTAGGGCACCCCCAGCTCAGTCCCCAGGGCTACAGCTCCATGGTAGGGCAACCCCGGGCTCAGTCCCCAGGGCTCAGCTCCATGGTAGGGCACCCCCGGGCTCAGTCCCCAGGGCTACAGCTCCATGGTAGGGCACCCCCGGGCTCAGTCCCCAGTGCTTCAGCTCCGTGGTAGGGCACCCAGGCTCAGTCCCCAGGGCTGCAGCTCCCTGGTAGGGCACCCCCAGCTCAGTCCCCAGGGCTGCAGCTCCATGGTAGGGCACCCTGGGCTTAGTCCCCAGGGCTCAGCTCCGTGGTAGGGCACCCCCAGCTCAGTCCCCAGGGCTCAGCTCCGTGGTAGGGCACCCCCAGCTCAGTCCCCAGGGCTACAGCTCCATGGTAGGGCACCCCCGGGCTCAGTCCCCAGTGCTTCAGCTCCGTGGTAGGGCACCTGGGCTTAGTCCCCAGGGATGCTGCTCCGTGGTAGGGCACCCCCAGCTCAGTCCCCAGGGCTGCAGCTCCGTGGTAGGGCACCCCCAGCTCAGTCCCCAGGGCTGCAGCTCCGTGGTAGGGCACCCCCAGCTCAGTCCCCAGGGCTGCAGCTCTGTGGTAGGGCACCCGGGCTCAGTCCCCAGGGCTGTAAAGATAAACAACAAGCAGTTATGTTGGGCCTGCTGTTTGCCCATCAAGCTCTCTTTCCATCAGTGCAGGCCAGGAGCCCTCTGCACACAATGCCATGAGTGTTCAGCTTGCAGTCTCTGTTCTGATGACAGATGGCCTCCTGCTTTCTGTCCCCACTGCCCTTTCCCTCTGACACTTCTGCATCTCTCTGGACATCTTCGACTCTGATGGTCTGCCTCAGAGTTGTCTCACTGTTCCCTGGACAAGTGGGAGACTCCAGCAGCCAAGCGCCCCACCCCTGCCCCAGGGTCTCCCTTCTGCAGGCAGTGACCCCTGAGGCGCCTCCATCGCGTCTTCTCCAGCCTGTGGTCCTCCCCATGTCTGCTGCCGAGTCTCCTGCGCGGGCTGCAGCTGGTCTTCGAGTTGAGGGGCGAGCCGGCCGGGCAGCTGGGGAGCTCTCTACAGTGCCTCTCCATGATGCGGGCTGTGGCACTGGGCCCAGAGGCCGGCTGTGGCTCCCACTGCCATGCCCCCAACACTCTTTCTTGGGCTGCTTTTCAAGGTTTTCTCTTTCTTTTCCTGAAGTTTGACTTTGCTGTGCCTGGATGTGGCTTTGTTTGGTTTCTCTGTCTCAGGGTTTGAGGAGTTTTAAATCTAGGGCTGTCTTCTGTGGTTTAGAGAAGTTCTTGTCTGTTGCCTCCACAGGTGTTGCCAGGCCCCATTCCCTGCTGGCCTCCCCACGCCCACTGGCCTCCCCACGCCCACCGGCCTCCCTGCACCCTGGCTTTATCGTGGAGACCACCCGGTGGGCTCTCCTGGTCTCCTTGCTCTGTTCTGAGGCCGAGCCTGGGTATCTTCCACTGGCCTGAGGTCTCCTGGTTCCGTCTGGACCCACGTGCTTCACCCTGTGGCACGCCCGTCCCTGCTGGTGGTCTGCCTGGCTCTGGCACCAGTTCTGGGTTCCCTCTTGCCGTTGGTCCTCGTCTCCACTCACATTCTGCTCTCTTTTCCTGCTCCTTGGTTCTTCCTGCCAGCCAGACCTCATGCAGGAAGGAAGTGGGGACGGCCGTGTGTGACGTCCCCTGGGGCCACACCCTGTGGCGGTGAAGCCATGGCGAGGGGCCCAGGTCCTCAGCCAGTCAGTGCTTCTGATCTGCATCCTCAGGTCCAGCTGACAGCTGTGGGTGGCCGTGGGCCAGCTCTGGGTCAGGTGTCTGGGGGATGTGAGAAGCCTGCCGCAGGCCCGGCCCAGAGACGGCCTCCTGAGCCCCACAGCTGGGGCGGCCTCACTGTTTCTGTGCAGATGACCCAGGTTCCACTGAGGGAGGACAGCTGAGAAACGCTGTGCGTCCAGCCCCTCTGGCAAGTCCCAGTGACAGTTCACATGGCCACGTGGCTTCTCCTCCCTCAGTGAAGCCCTCCCCAGGACTGAGCCCCAGCCTGCAGCCAGGGAAGAAAATGACCCACATGCCTTCGGAGGAAAGGCGCCCTGAGCCCCTCACTCCTGCAGTCCACCCTGCTTCCGCAGTGCTGTGTGGGTCAGGAGGTCAGGACTGGCAGCACAGCAGGTCCTCTTCAGGTTGTCAAGGGGCACATGGCTACTGTGCCCACCCATGCCACCTGGTGAGGAAGCCCTGAGGGCTCTGTGCTTCACCCTGTGGCACGCCCGTCCCTGCTGGTGGTCTGCCCAGTTGCTGTGCCTCCCTCCCTTGCCACTGCCCACTGGCACTCGCCCTGCTTCCCTCACAGCCCCGGCTCCCTGAGGCGCCCACCCTGGTCCACTGTTTCTGGGCTCCAAGCTGCCCGGGGCTGTTCTCCGTGGCTTTGCAGGGTCAGTCCTGCTTGGTTTTCTGCGTTTTGGCCCTTCCCAGGGCAGCTCCTGACTCCTGTGGTCCCTCAGCTGCGTCTGAAGAGCTGCTTTTGAT